GTTTAATAGGTATTGCATGATTGGTGGGCAGGGTCAAAAAGGGATTATTATAATGACATGGCACCTCGGAACTAAGTGTTAACCCTTTTTTGAGAAATCATGCTCAAGTATATGAACCCAAATTGCATATTAAATAAGTTTACAAGAACCACTAAAATTAATCTTAATCTTTTTTTAAGAAATTTTACTTACCTAAATACATGTAGGTACTTAGTTTTAGACCAAATTACTTCCCAAAAATGGCCTTTTATTATTATCTATGTCTGTAATTTTTAATTTACTTTAATTATTAAGTTTAATAATCCTAAGATTTGCCTACGCCCATGGACGACAACGAAATTCAGGCAAATTTTATGACACTTCATGATTTATTACTCTACACTCTTTTGAAATAGACTATAGATAGGGAAGGTAAACACTAATGGGCCTAAGATCAGAGTAATGTGTCGGAGAATTACACTTGGCCAAGGGAATCACAAGTGCATGTTTCCAAAGGGAAGGAAAACACGAGGAAGTGATACACGAATTCAGTATGAAGGTGATGTATTCCAAGAGATGTGTTTCCACCAAACGAATCATTCGAAGTGAGATACTGTCCGAACCTACAGCGTTGCTTCTGATTTTATTTAAAAACTTCTAAACAGTATTTTCGTCAACGGGAGAGAACCTGAAAGAATCTGCAGTGTTCATAGTTCATTCATGTCGTCAAAGAGTATCGAATATTGAGTTGACACAACTAAAAGCGCGACAGTGGATATTTCTATTTATTCAAGTGGCTAACGGACATAGGCTGTTGTCTTCAATAGAAAGGTTTTTCTCTTGATAAGAGATATTTCGAAATAACGCGACGTTTTGTTTTCTCTTGATGTTCGGGATTGAGAGGCTCGTTTCAATTTAGAAAACTGGTACCCAGTTCCATTCAGTTCAACATTCAAACCACCGAACCTCATGATTCTTCCGAATGAAAAAGGGACTAACCTGACGCTCTAGTAGCAACCCACCCGCCCAAACTAGAGAACTCGTAACTATCCGGCTCGTGTCCCGTCGTATACCCCAACTTCCCCAACTCCCTCTCCAAGTCCTGGCCGACGATCCCGCTCTCGCAGCACGCTACCAGGTTCTCCCTGTCGATCCACAGAATCCTGTTCATCTGCGACGTGTCAAGGGCCACTATAGGGCGGGTTTCTTCGGCAGGGCATTCGACGGCTCCCGAAACCGCAGTTCCGCCCCCGAAAGGAATAACGACGACGTTTTCGGAATGCGCGAGCTCGACTATCCTCGTAACTTCTTCGTGACAGCTCGGCCATACCACGACGTCTGGTATCCTTTGGAGGTTAGAGTTCTGCAAAGAGTAGATCTCGTGGAGGCTCTGTCCGTGCGCTCGAATCACTCGGTCGAGGACCTGTGGAGAAATATCGACGTGAACAAAAATAAATGGGCTCAGCAAGACAATATCTACATCACAGATTGTGTTGAAGTCGCTAAATTATAGGGTACGCGGGTTGCGGCGAAAGAAACGCCAGAACCTGCCAGAATGAAAATGCAACGATGTACTAAATCATGAAACAAAGAGTACTAAATCCGGAGAAAATGTACTAAAAAGAATAAATATCAATATGTACCAAAACAGACTAAAAAGCACCAACTCCGAACACAAAAAGTACTAAATAAATGGCGGGAATTTTAAATTATTGATTTATTTATAATAACAAAGGGACAAAACTTCACATTGTTACTGTAGACGTAAAGCAAATTCAAATCCAAGATAGAGTGAATGTAAACATTGACATGTCCCACGCACGTGATATTGAAAATCCCAAGAATTGGCCAGGGTCGTATTCAGAACCAACATCTTGTTGATCGCAAATGCTATATCATACTTAGGAACACTTTTATATAATAACGAGTGAAATGCATAAGTTTTGCAGATTAACAGGAAAAATTCAGATAATATGTGTAATATAAAAAGATTTTCATTGGATTTTTCACAGCGCACTCAAGCATTATATGAAAAGAGACATAATTATTTTATGTAAAATCAAAAGGAATATTAATCAAAATTATTCAAATGGATGAATTTGTCTCTTCATCAGTAGTGTCATCCTCACCAATCTGAATTATCAGTGGCTCGATTTGTGCCTCTATTATGTTATCAAGCTTCCACATCTTTGTCTCGACTTCCTATATCACATGACGAACACACTTCTCCCATTTCTCTGCTGTGACTCTTTTCAAAGCCTCATCAAAAAGTACTTTGAGATCTGCAAATTTGAACGTGGTGTTATGCTGAGCTACAAAATTAACTACATATTAACTCGATGGGATTGAGCTCGCAGTGGTATGGAGGCAGGCGAAGGACAATTTTGTTTTGGCCTGCTGCCATCTCATCGGCTATATATTTTTGGTATTCAAGCTTGCGCTCCTTGACAATTTTTAGTAGCTGTACTCTTAGCATTGAGTCTTCAAAGCTAATATTCTTTGATCGCTGCCAATTTTGGATTTCAACCTTCTTTGAAGACGTTGTCGGAATGTTCTCTAACCGTCGCGAATGATAAGGTGCATTGTCCATTACAATCACAGCATTATCCTTCAGATGGGGTAGAACTTTGGAAAAACACTGTTCGAAAGATTCACCGTTCATTTCTTCGTGATAATCTCCAGTTTTCTTCGACTCGAAACACCACAGCCCTTCAGCAACAAACCCATTCTCATTGCCGATGTGACAAATAATAAGCCGTTTTCCTTTACCTGAAATTATTAAGAGGTATGTAAGTAAATAAAACAAATACGAGGGTTACTTTTTATATATTGGAATTGAGGTAGGTCTTAATATAAATATAAGTTTACCTGATGGATTTGTTAATCCGGTGGATAGTCCATCTAGAAAGGCCCTCCTAGATGAGGTCACAGTTTCATCGACCTATACTTTAGGGGTAGTATAACCAGCATTAACCCAGGTTTCATCCATATAATAAATTGTTCTCTGTTGTTCCCTATAATATTTAATTTTGGTCAAATACTCTCTCCTCCATAACACAATTTCCTCTCTATCAAATAAAAAACTATTGCGCCCTCGTTTTTTCCATACAAAATTGAAATGTTTCAATACTTTATGGAATGTTGACTGCTTAAAACTTGGCAATAAAACATCTTCATTTATTTCTGTGAGTACTTTGTCTATCGTGGGTATTTCATTTCTGAAAAAGTACTCATGCACTTTCCTCCTGATTGCATGTTTATAAGCATCATCTATTGATTTTATAATAGTTTGACGATTCTGATTTGTATTTGGTTTGGAAAATGTATGATTTTGTTTATATTCCCGTAAAACATTGTAAATCGAAGCGCAACACACTCCAATTTTATCGGAAACTTTCGATACGACTTCGTCGATGTCTCAATTTCTTCCATCTCTTTCTTGAACACATTTAAAATCACTTCTTTCATCTCAACACTCAAATGTCTTTTTTTGAATCATTTCCTGGCTGGACTCAGAGGATATCTCACAGTGTCATCAGCAGTGTCTGTACTGGACATCTTGGAAAACAATTTTAAACAATATACTATAACGCACGCTATACAAACACGCAAACGACTGATTACAACCCTGTGCTGGTACCGAACTCGTACCAAGAAGGCGAATTCACCAATGAACGCTGCCCTTTCCATCTGACACTGGGCGATCACGTGAACATCACGCTTCGGTTTTGTTTTGTTTTACTCTATCTTGGATTTGGATAGACTTTATATAAATGAAAAATAATTATATACATTTATTGAAATAAAAATATCTTCTGAAATACATACAGATATAAATACTAAAAACAATAATAACAAACTTATTTGAACATATTAATGCCTATATTACTTGTACAGCAACAAAAAAAAATCGTAAATAGATAAAAATGTAACAAAAAAAACTTATTGACATGTCAACAAAACAAATGGATCTATACTATACCATAGAAACTAACTGTTCCATATTATCGTTGTTATGGTTAAAATCAGTGTCTCTAAACTCTAATTCTGCTTGGCTAATATCATTGTCAATTTCTAAACTTTCATTTTCATTGACCGGTTCTAGTTCTAAAGCAACATGCTTTTTTTCTCGTATAAGAAACCTTTATTAAAAATAAAATGTACTGATACATGATTGTTAATTATAATTTACAATTCACAACTTATTTGTTCATTTTTATAATCTATATTATCAAAATGGCATACACTTTTTACCGTGGTTTACATTTGTTCAAAATTCAAATATGGCAATTGACAATTTTGACAAGAGCTTCTCATTTGTACTAAAAATTGTACTAAATATAAATTATTTGCTAAAATGTACTAGATATATTAAATGTAACACTAACGTACTGAACATTGGCCGAAACCACTAGATCTAGTACGAAAACACTGGTTCTGACAGCCCTGGAAAGAAATGACCCGCGATAGAATGTGACTTTCCCTCCACCGACAGTGCCGTACACAATTTTATTCATTGGGTGATGATAACAACAAAAATATGTAAAATGTCAATATATTAATGGAAACTTCCGAGATACATGTGATATTTTCATTGAATATATACAATGGTTACATCCATCAATCTATTGAATTAATGATGAGTTTATTTCGAAAAAAAATCAAATATCAATTATACAATATATATAGGGACTTCCGAACTTTGACAATTGATAACGGCCATCTTGTTTAGGCTACATCTGTCAAATGACCCATAGGCAAATCGAGGAAGTCTAGTTGACAGTGCGGTACGAAGTGATCTAATAAGTCGATAGACATTTGAGTGTTGGTCTGAAGTGTCAGTTAAAGTTTTCTTCGTGTTGTATTGTCAGTGTAGTTGTGAAATAAAGTTGAGTTTAATGTACAGTGTCGTTAATTATTGTCAAACCCACGGGGAAAACATACCAATAGACAGAATTCAAACCTGTATTCAGTACAGCGGTGGTTTTATGAGTTGAAAACACCAACGATCGACTGATATGATAGTGAATTTTATGAGTAAGTGAGGGGGGTCTTCGTTTATTTAAACTTCTCTCGAATCGGGTGCTGTCAATGTCGTTATCTTAGGAGGAGGAAAATCAGATTGGGACAGCCCTAGTCGAAAAAATAATCATTTTGGGCACATTATATAGATGATCGTTGCTTAGCCACAGGGTCTTTTTTTCGTTTTGAGCGCTCATTCCAAATCACGTGCTTATAAAAAATAACTAACCTTTATAGAATATGGTATTCCAAGACTAGAAATTTTGTACAATATCTCTGTAGTGATGTTTGGTTTCTGATATTGGTCCTCGGAAGGTATGGCCCTTGTTTCTTTTGGCTTCTTGGTTAGGTCAACGTCCAGGATGTCCTGTGCCCATTCTAAGAAATGAGGGAGACTCACCTCCCCTATTGGATACCTAAAAACGTAGAGAATAATAATATCTACCTAAATTTTTCTTATGTTTTAGGGTTCTATAAAAACATTGTTGTTTTATGAAACAATTAATTATCGAGAAGGGCTGAATTCGTTTTTTTGTGCGATAGTTTTAATTTTGTGACAACTCCTAAGACATTTATTTGAATTGTATGATGTAAAGGGCAATTGTAATGAATATACGACTAAGATTTGGAAAGAATGGAGTTGATCAAATGAAGAGAAGTGTTATAAAAGGAAAGAAAAGCTGGGAGTGAGAGGGACGATGCTAATTGAATACTTAAACCACCTGAGTTAACTGTAGAGATTGGTGTGACACATCCAAGTTCGACTGCATCTCGGGGTACATAATAATTTGGGGATTGCCAAACAGTATTTCAAGGTAAAATATTCTATATAGGAGAAAAGGCGATTGAGACGAGATGACAATAGAAATAGACTCTGTTTTCCGTGTGAGGCAATGTGATAAAGACTCTGTAGAGAGGAGCTCCATCAGCGTGCTTTCGGGACTATTTTAATTTGTAGAGGAATTATTGTGAATGGATTTGTAAGCATCTAAAAAAGAGCAGAAATTTCACATTTTGTCGAAATTCAATTCAAGTCGAATCTCATTAGAGAGTTGACTAATTTTTTGAAACTCCTGGAGAACAAAATCTATATTACTACCAATAATAGGTGTAGTGTAGTGCCGGGTGTCGTATCATGTCTTATGTCGTGTATCATGCGTCTTATGTCGGGGCTTGTGTCGTGTCGTTTATTTTAAGTCGTGTCGTGTATCATGTCGTGTCTTGTGTGATGTAATTTCTTGTGTCGTGTATCATGTCGTGTCTTGTGTCATGTCGTGTGTCTTGTGATGTGTCGTATGTCGTATCTTATGTCGTTTCGTGTATCGTGACTTGTGTTGTAGTGCTGTGTGTACTGTGTTGTGTCATGTCTTGTGTTGAGTATCATGTCGTGTCTTATGTCGTGGCTTGTGTCATGTGTCGTATCGTGTGTGGAGTAGTCTTGTGTAGTGTCATTGTGTAGTATCCTGTGTCATTTCGTGTGTCCTATCTTTGTCGTGACTTGTGTCGTGTAATGCGTCGTGACTTGTGACATGTATTGCGTCGTGACTTGTCATGTGTCGTATCTTTGTCGTTACTTGTGTCGTGTATCATGTCGGGTTTTGTGTCGTCTTTGTCGTGACTTGTGTCATGTATTGCGTCGTGACTTTTTTGGTGTCGCGTATCATATCGTGTCGTGTCTTATGTCCTGAAACGTATCGTGTGTCCTATTTTGCGTCGTGGTTTTGCCGTGGCTTGTATCGTGTAATACGTCGTGGCTTGTGTCATCTATTGTGTCTTGTCATGTGTTGTGTCTTGTCGTCTGTCATATCTTGTGTCGTATATTGTATCTTGTGTGTAAAGTCTTGTCTAATGACATGACACGACACCGCACACGACTCACGACAATGCACGCATATGACACTTCACAAGACACGACACAAGGCAAGACACACGACACAAGCAATGACACACGATACGAAATACGACACAAGACGTATGCCGTGCCTGTGTCGGGCGGTGTCTCGTGGTGTGTTTGGGCTTTTGTTGTTCAGAGCAGGGGCTTTGTGGTTTCGTTTTTATTACTTTGTTCCAGTTTGCGTACTCATATCGGAAGCACAAATTGCTAACATATGTGCGTCATTATCTACACAACTACATACATGTACGTTACGGCAAAACAATTAATTCTTCCTCTCTATGAAATTTCCTGCTAATTATTTGTGAGAATGTGATGGTGTTAGTTGTAGATACAATAATAGAACATAAAATTATTCACCTCTTGCCACTGAAGTAGATTTCCGGACCGTCATCGGTTAGTTTAATTTCAAATTTGGAGTCCTTGTATCCCCATCCGTTCCACTTGAGGAGTTCCTCCCTGAAAAAAAAATCTTCAGAAAATTGTAATGTTTCTAAAGTTTCTTGTTCATGGATATTTTGGTAAAAATAAAACCTCTGGATTATGATATTTGAGTTAGTGTTTTCATTTTGTTTTGAAACATAATTTCCAAACTATTGAAAGCAGTTTGTGTACTTTAGAACTATTTCTTCTACAAATATATGGATGCCAATATCCAGCCAAAGAGTGGCCGGAAACAGTAGATTCATACAAATTTTGTCCGACTCTGATATCTTGCCCCGTTCGAAAGTTAAGAGGTCACAGAATAAATTGCTTCGTAAAATTTGTTGTTAAAGCGAAAAGTCTATCGATTTAAACAAGGAAACTTTACCGAGTCACTCATTAGGATGTACTCGTTACATTTTTAAAAATGTTAATCGTGACTTGTTTATCTATTGATTACTAGCGGCCCGTCCCGTCTACGCAGGTGAATGATAATAATGACCTTCAATAAAACTCGTTTGAACAACTATAAATTTTGATTAGAATAGAAGTATAGACATCACACGTTAAGAGGTAGGACCTCGTTAGTCCTTATCTCGCACAAGTTTCGACTTCTGAGGGTTGTCGTTCGTAGGGGTGCGGCAGCTGGTTAACGGAAAAACAGATTTTAAACAAGTTTGTTTTAACGAGTGGATATGTCTACTGGGAAATACTATAAAACAACCCAGTAATTTCGAGTATTCTCACATTCGACAATCTGAAAAAAATAACAGTTTCAATATAACATTATAAAATTTTCATTTTTTCAGATTGACGAAAATTAAAATTTCCAGAGAAAGAGACAAATAACAACCTTTCTTCATCATGTGTGTCGCATATGCTCGTGAAGCCGCTTGAATTTATAACGCGTTCAGGTCGTTTTATACTTTCAGTGGTGTGCGTTGGGTATTCAATAAATATTACTAGTTAAAACCAATATCTATGCTAATTTATTTATATACGAGTTATATTGTTACAACATCTCAATTTGAAATATTTTCGTGATAATAAATAGGTATGCCTATTCAAGAAAATATTAGTTAAAAGCGAAAGTTATGGTTTGATATCATCAGATATAGTTAAGTAAACGATATTTTTTTTTGGCCGTCGGACGCATAGTCCATAATAGCCAGCAACTAAACGTTAGTTTTTCTCTCAATTTTTCGAAAACAAGGGAACGGGTTTTAGGATATTACTCTACAACTTCAAGTTACAATCATTCACGAATTTCATCATAGCGTCTATTACTTATGGTTTGTTCAGTGCCAGTAAGTGCAGTATATTTAACGGTGGTATTATGTTTTCCCGTCTTAATGTTTCCATGAAATCTTTGGTTTGTTCCTGATGTTCAGAACAGTTGAAAAATTTATGATCAATATCAGATATTACATTACATGTGGCACATTTGTTTGACTCAACGATTCCTTTCAGTCTGGTTATTGTGACTATTGTTTTCCGTCCGTACTTCATTTTTTTGTGCCATATTTCCGCTGGGATTTTTGGTACTAACAGGGTATACTGTGTAGCAGAGTTTTTAAAATACTCTTTCCCTGCTGTTGCCCAATTTTCCTTGAACCTACTCTTTGCTAAGATTAGACATTCTTCAGCGCCACTTTCATTCTCAAGGCGTTATCGTGTTCTGATGCCTGCCTTTGCCAGTTCATCAACTTTCTCGTTGCCTATTAAGCCTGCATGAGCTTTGATTCACATTAATTTGATATCAAAATTAGCTTCATAGAGCTTGCTGATAAATGCAACCTATCTTTCAACAGCTCTACTTTAATAATATAGTTAGGGAGCTAACTGATTTTGTTATTCAATAATCATTTCTGATTTACAGGCTGATTCACGGTGGATGGCACATTAGACGTTTCTGGTGAACCAGACAACGGATCACTTTGAAAATTTAATGGAGGGCATATTCGGATATTCTCTAGCCAACTAAAATATTTTCGACAATGCGGTGTTGCCGCTTCTATTAGAAAGCAGTAGCAACTTTGATTTTTCAAATTACCAACAGTTTCGATAATCTTCGAGTGGCAGATTATCCACGAAACTGTCTACAGTATTCTCCAAAATATTCAGGTAGCTTCTGGATGTTAATGACTCCTCGTATGTCTTGTACCTCAATTTGTTGTCCATCAACATGCAGAAGATGCACTGTATGTACTGAGACCTAAATTGACTGTACTATGTCAACCTGATTTTTCGAATAACTCTTATTTAATTAACTATTTTTAAAGAATATAAAGTGAATAACCAGCTGAGGAGTTTAATCTCGCAACTCTCGCCAAACTAATCTTATTTTGGAACATAATCAATCAAATGTCGGAGACGCAAAAAAATCGAAAAACTTCAGTATTTACAACAATTCAAAGCTTCTAAGAAATGAAAAAATAACTTCTGAAACTACACCCAAAGACCAACACTGAGAAATCGATATACAAACACCAAAAGGACCTCGACGCAAATAACCCAAAGGGTTTAATCTAAAACGAAGGGGAAACAGTGCCAGGCATGCTATTCCCACAGCAAAATATCGATTACCAGCAAACCAGAAACTTACCGATTCTTTGGTATCGCGCTTTTGACAATAATCGGGTGTGCACGTTTTGGATCCGTCATATTGATCGCTTTTTCTGACTCTCTGTTCCAATTACGGCCGACCTTTTCCTGAAGCGTCGAACCTCGTTGAAATCCTGAACATCCCGAAAAACAGACACCAACTAAATCATTGAATGTTTACAGCACGGTGACATTCGTAACTCGCGCATTGTAGGAGGTAGGCGCGCTTATTAAACATTTATGCAATGACTAACTAAAATAGACCGGTGACTCAGAACAATCGGAAAGCGAAATAGGGATGCTGAAATTTAACGAATGCCGATCTGGATGTATGAGAGAGACGGAGGATTTTTAGTTAGATGCGCGGATGAAGCTTTGCGATGTTGCAATGTTAGGGAAATTCCCTCGACTGCCGGAAAGTGTTTTCCGCGTTTGCTGTACAATATTCAATCACCAGTGGCGTAAAAATAGGGTGACAGAAATGTCGCGAGCTTTCAGCTATGGGAGAGACCCCCGGTCGGAAAGTAAAATTTAGAACCTTTAACTAGAATTCAATAAAGTCGTTTTCCTTAAGTAACGGAGTGAACAGTAATTTTGCTATTGCTGTTCCATAGCCGTACATATTCGTAATTGAGTAGGTTAAAAAGTGAAAAATTTAGTTTTTTATTTCAAACATGCTATGTTTGGTTCAACATAACAAATCTCAAAAGACTTTATAAGTAGTTGTATGTATATGATGAGTAACAAAAATATGGAACACTCGCGTTAATAATCAATAGTTTTTTTATCGAACAACCAAAATATTGTTCTTACTTTTGAATTTCGATCGATATTTTCAACACTTTCTATAAAACGCAGTAAATTGATGGATGTAGCCGTTACTACGTGGTAGGAGATCATAATGAAAAGAGAAATGAAAATTTCTATGTTTTTACTATGGTTAAAAACATAGAAATTTTCATTTCTCTTTACATCTTATCTGATTAAATCTCCCATACCTACCCGAGATATTTTGAATTTTCGCTGGAATAAGAATGACGTCACGATTCGATCCGTTCTAATCGTGCTTCCAGAGATCCATGCATGAGAACAATACTCCAAAGAAGGTCTGATCTGAGCTTTATAAAGCATCAAAAGTTGCTGAGTTGTGTACAGTTTTCTGGTTCGGAACAGTTGCTTTCAAGAAGCAGCCTTTGCAATTCCAGCTACATGATATTATGTCAAGATATATTGGTGTTCATTTTAACCCCCAACAAACTTATCGAAGCAGAAAGCGGAATAATATTAACAGTATTGATATTTTTGATAAACACATCAATGAATAACCTTTGATTTCGCGTCCCCCTACGACCCCATTCCGAAGATTCCGTAGAAGATGAATTGATGAGCATAAAAACGATGGTAATGACCATTCCGGCATTGAAACCATAGCAAAAAACTCAACAACGGGGTTGTTCAGTAATTTAGTGGTCCCTGCTTCACGTTTGGAACTCAGAGTTGTACCACGAATTAGGAGAACACTAATTTTCGAAAAGGTCATCTGCAATAATGGGTACCTCAAATTTTAAAATACATCAAATGAGTAATTAGAGTAACTATTCCAAAATATGTACATATTATATTGACATTGTTTATTGATGCTTAGTGCTGCCATCACTTAGACAATAGTCCATTCAGTGAAATGGATCTTGCTGTAGATCCCATTCAATTAAGTAACTGGCGTCATCTGTTGGAAAGAAAATTGACTCGTTAACAAGCAATATCAAACAAGGGACTTTTAATTTTTCCATTATAACTATTCATCGCTCAATGCGTTTACGTTGGACAATGTTTGTTATACAAATCGACTTCAGTAGGCTAATAAAAGCAAAACTATGGCGAAACAATGACAAAAACTGTGGTGAATGGTTTCAAACGTACTTCTTCCAAAAATTCCAATTTTTCCGATTAAGATCGGATTAGAAAGATGCAACATGAAAATGTATATGCCTTATAGTTATTTTACTCACTCCTGTTTTTTACCTTTTGGAATTCGACAGATAGATACGGTTCTCTTTCTCATTTTCACTGTTTAAGCAAGTGAAATATGAAATGAAAATGTCAAATGTCAATAATTTCAAAGTTATAGAAATATCTCATAAATGAACCAAATAATGGAAGTTTGATACAATTTAAATGAAGAAAGTAATTGAAATGTTACATTCTTCATTAAAAGATTACAAAATCTTGTCAATATCAATATAGTGGCTTATATTGGCCACACTGAAAACACTTTTCTGTTATTTCAATGCAGCCAAAACGGATCGTAGTGACGTTTCGAAAATGGCGATAAACTGTCAGTTAGTGTATTTATAACTTATTTTAAATGTTTTATTCGTAAATCAAAATGACTTTCGAATCTAGTTTAGTGCAAATTTTTCGCTATTGACCAATACTGCAATGGGCACAACTGGACACAACCTGGACACATTCAACGTAGCTGGTGGGTTATCACTGTCATCATTTCCATATCATATCTGCTGATTCTTAGTTATCGATAAACATAGATAAGCTTTAATGGTCCTCCAGATAAACGAAAATGTGTGTTTTGTGCAGATGTGTCGTATTTTATACCTTCCTTTGAAATGGGTGCAAGTAAGTTTCGATTGGATTGAACTTTGAAGCCTAATTATAACTGTAAATAACAACAAATTAAAATACTAGTAGCGAATGCTGCCTTCGTTATCAGGAAATGTGACTCATTAATCCGGGAACTGAAGGTTATGATTCCTCCTGCAGTTGTGTCATATCTAATCTACCACTAGTAATTGTGAGGTTTTGAGTTCGCTATAAGCCTGAAGGTTCCCTCCTATTAGTGAAGACTTCAAGAGGCAGTGCATCTCATAATCACGACTTAGCAATATAATCACATCATCTACATAGTATCTTGTTCTGTGATATGGAAATTTCCCTCATTAATATTGTCCCGGTTATAACCAATGACACGACGGCTTTGACAAAAAGTATAGTATCAAGAGTCCTTTCTCCCAGTCTTTATGAGTAGTTAATTTCTCTCGATATCTGTGACACGGTCTTATGAGAAAAGCTTGTATTGTTTCAAATGAGAAAACTCACAGTTATTTAAGATTTCTGAATGACAAGGAACTTCTATGTTTGAGCTAAAACTCATACCAAATTATATTTACAAATAATTTTGAATGAATTTTTGCAATCAATAATTATCTAGACAATCAACTCTCTTTCGATATGATGATTTGAATCATGTGACCTACCTTCCACTAATATTTTCCCCTGAGTTTAGGTAAAAACTGTTCAAAAATTTGAACATCTTCAGAGAAAATTTTACCTACTCATTATAATATAAAAATCTGTTTAAATCTGTTTAAAATCGGTTTTTCCGTTAACCAGCTGTCGCTGTAAAGTAGCGCAGTAAACGAAATGTGGTTGAATGCTTGATTTGAAAACTGTAATGGAAGTCTGAAACGGTAAGCAACTGTTTACACGGCCAAAGAAAAATAGTTTTTTAGCAATTTTATTGCGGATATACCTAATTGAAGTGTTTTTCATATTCAGTATTTAATCCACAATGAACCCCATTTAATATTCAGTTAACTGCACTTTTAGAAAATCAAAATCTCTTACTCAGCTATGGAAATGGTTTCAGAAGTAATAAATCCGCAACTACAGTTCCTTCACTTTGACCTCAGTAGAGCATTTCAAACAATTGATCATTCACTCTTACTTAAAAAATTGTCCCGTATTGCTGCCAATAATTGGATTGTTTTGAATCAAAGCGAGCCACAACCAAGAACAATCAATATTGGTGTACCACAAGGATCTATCTCAGGTCCAGTTCTGTTTATCATTTGGCACATTCCTGTCCTAACGCAAAATAAATATTTATATATGCTGATTTCACAAATATATTGGTCTCAGTAATTAACTCACAGGATGTAGCAGTAAGGGCGTGTGTCATCATGTATAAAATTCATTTACAGAAGCAAACGATTTTTTATTGGTCGATGTCAATGAAGAGATCAATCTCCCACGGTTGACATCAGTACAGAAGCATCAGGCTAATCCAAACAGTAACAGTATTACCGCATAACTGTTGCGATACCCCTATTGGAAGACTCAACTTCCCAGCTCAAAATAAGATTTACTGACCACGAGAAAGTGATTGCTGCTATGTACAATCTTATACCAATAGTCTGTTCCGAGAAGAAAACGCAATTCCCAAGAGAGGACCTAGTGATGTATGAGGACCTGGTGGAACTAAACGAGCACATAGCGAATTTCAACTATGAAAATTTGTGGCAGGGCAAAAGCCCTTAGGACCAACTTTGTTGCGCCATTGAGGCTGTCGGAGAGTTTAGCAGGCAATTGTCTCAATTGAACATCTTATCGACTCTTCCAGTAACCACTTGCACCCCAGAAAGGTCATTTTCCACACTTGACGCCTAAAAACCTACCTACGGAATTCTTTGGGCAAGAGAGGCTAACCGGGTTGGCCCTAATGGCAATTCACAGAGATGCCATCATCCCAAATGATGATGTTATAACAGAATTTGCCCATAAAAAGCCTAGAAGACTTGATTTTGTATTGTGGATTGACTGAACTGGAAATTTGAGGTTTCTGGTTCGATTAATTCCAGTTACTAAGATTTTCCCATATATTTGAAGCCTGAAACATAGAACAGTGGAGTGTTTTTCCCCTAATATGGAACAAATTTCTATTGCTTTATCATGAAAATTGTGAAAATGCCTTATAACAAATGATTCTTCTTTCAGATTTGACTCCCGAACAACAAAGAATTTTAATAGAAATAAGAAGACGCAAAACAGAACTACTACTAGAAATACAGGTAAGTTGACTCTTCCAAAACATCGTTGCCTGTATTGGATAAAAACTATTCCCCAGGCTATTGCCACAGTTGACGGCTATTGATTGAGATTTTGTATAAAGAGCCCGGCTAAACATATAGATGCTTTTGATTTTTGAATAAAGAACAAAAATATAACTCGAAAGAAACCTGGAGAGATACATACATTGAATCATATACGACATACATTTATGCAAGATTCCTCACAGAGGTTAGTCTCACAAATATTTCTCATTCACCCAGCAGTAGGACCATGCCAAAATCAATGAACTGATGAGAGGTATTACCTCCTATTAATGTAGTGTAGTAATATAACTTTCTAAATTTTTAACTGATTATAGTAACTTATTTTAAAATGTGATGGCATTATTATGTGTAAACTTTTTATACCTTTTTTTGAGATTCTCAGTA